CATTTATAACTTTATTTGTAAAAAAAAATCATAATATTTACACAACTAAAATGATAAATCAGCCCATACTGATGTGCAACTACATAATAAGAAACAAAAGTATAGAAACATTTGCAAGGGCGTCCCTAGGGGTGGGGGCTCTAGGCCAAATAAATTGAGAAAAAAAGTTAGGCCTATGTTTAGTTTTTTTATAATAGGTGTGAGTATGATGATTTTTCGGCTCTAAACTAATAATTTTATAATAGGTGTGGAATTTTTTGAGGTGCTTCTCTATGAATTTTTCATGAAAAATTATGAATATGTTTATCTATGAAGTTTAGATTATGTCTACAAGATTTCAATTTAAAATACAATCGAGAAGTCCGTTAAATAAATTATTGAAAAAACATTTTGTTTTTACACATACTTTGGCACAATGTTTTTCAAGAATTGATTTAACTGACTTCTTCATTGAATTTTAAACCGAAATTTGTGAACATAATTTAAACTTGATTGAAACATGCTCATAAAATTTTCATAAACAAATTCCGGCCACTGAAAGCATATTAATATGATTATTTAATTAGTTTAGTAATTGAGTTCATTCAATTTCATTGTAAAAAGAAGATTCATAATAATAGACTAAATTTGTTGAATAACATTGAACCACTAAATTATTGAGAACAAAGCAAATTTAAACATGAACGGAACAGTTAATGTTTTCTCATTATATTGTAAACCCTTAATTGAGTTCATTTTAAGGAGAAGATTCATAATAACAGACTAAATTTGTTGAATGATATTGAACCACTAAATTATTAAAAAAACAAAGCAAATTTAAACATGAACGGAGCAGTTAATGTTTATACTCATTATAGAGCCCGTTTGGTAGCACGAAAATCGGCTATTTTGACGGATTCTGCGGAAGTTTATGAAGTTCTGGCTGAAGTGGCTGCATTGACTGATTTTGCTGATTTAAGGAAAAATTATTTTTAATAATATATTTTATTAATAAAATAAAGAAAAAATTATATATAAAAATAGCTAAAATGGTCATATACAGTAACTTCAGCCAATACTGTCAGAAAACTTCAACCTTACTTTTTCTACTTATTACACAATTCAATGCGTGAAAGCAAAAATTACGTGTTTGATGAAAAGTTAGCTGATAAGCACGATAAGCCGAAAAGGTTCCAAACGGCCTCATATTATAAACCCTAAACTTCCTTAATAGAACCATTTAACAACAATATAAATAGAAATATTTATACTCAATTAGGTAGATAGAATGTTCTAGCATAATATTTAGGTACATACGATTATTCATCACACTCAATTATCAAATTTTTGTCATAACATTTTAATACTACGAGCACTTATGTATATTTAAGAAATAATATGTATTTTATGACATACCAGTTCACTAATAGGGATTTTAATTGAATTGCATTGAAATACAAAAAGCCCAAAAACACATCATTTCCCATTAAGCTTCCGTTAATGATACTAAGCTTCCGTTAATGATAAGCAAATGTTTAGATGTTAATTAACGGATGTAAGCAATTTATAATAGATGGTACAATGAGTATAACAAATTGTACAACTATGTGTTGCTTTAGTTTACACCAACATTTTTTTCATACCTTAAATGCCCTAACCATCATTGGTGTTTATAAGATTTTAAGATTAAGATATATATATATATATATATATATATATATATATATATATATATATATATATATATATATATATATATGTATATGTATATATGTATATATATATATATATGTATATATATATATATATGTATGTGTGTGTGTGTATATGTGTGTGTGTGTGTGTGTGTGTGTGTGTGTGTGTGTGTGTGTGTGTGTGTGTGTGTGTGTGTGTGTGTGTTCGTGTCAGTTATAATAATCAACAATTTAGTGTGAATTTAATTGATCGTAACAATAAATGATTATACATGTTTCTCCAATGAATCTTATTTTGAACGGTCCAAACACGCAATTGCTCTGTAAATAACATTTCGAAGGAAAATTCAAAAATGTCTTTGTTAATTTTCTATTGCATCCAAATGAAATCAATTTTTTAATCATCTTTATCTCAACATAAATTGATTTTAAAAAATGAATTGAATTCAACTATCATTTTATTGTAAGAAAAATAATTAAACATATAATCAACAATTGAAATAAATTTCATTTTATTTGTCTCAAACACAATCTAATTAAATTGCAAGGCATGGGTAATTAGCCAATTTCTACCCAGATAAATTTCATTTTATCTCGTGCACGACACGGATAAAGGATTGAATTGCATTACAATATCAATAAGGAAAAAAAGAAAATAATAATATCAATAAGTTAATTTATAATAGCTTTTTATTACTCATTATATATCACACCGTATATGTATTACGAATAATTACTCAAAATATTACTTTTAAAATTTTAAAAATAATTTTAAATTATTGAAAATTTGACGTGTTCAATTAGAATTCCTCAGGGCCCCAGCAAAATAAACTTTCATGTTTATTTTTATGTGATATAACTTTTTATCTGTACTCCATGCCAATTGTTACCAAAAAAACATATCAAAATGCATAACTTTTTATTATCTTACCTATGACATCAATATTGAGCATATATAAAAATTAACACTTTAAAACATCTATTTTTAAGTGTTGTAACATTTTTATCTGTACTCCAATTAACACAAAAAATATATCAAATTCGTAACTCTTTATTATCTTTTCTAGGACATCAATGTTGAGCATATAAAATAAAAGTAATAATTTAACACTTTAAAAGATTTATTTTTTAAGTGTTGTAACATTTTTATTTGTACTCCAATTGTCACAAAAAATATATCAAATTCAATAATGTTTATTATCTTTCCTATAACACCAATATTGAATACTCCGTATATAAAAACAAATAAATAATTTAACACTATAAAATAACATTTTTTAAATTCTATAACTTTTTTATTTATACACCGATTGTTATAGAAATATATCAGAATTCCTAACTTTTTATTAATTTTTATATAACATCAATATTACATATATAAAAAAGCTATTAATTTTTGCAGTTTATTATCATTTTTTACCATGCACACTATTAATCGGACTGATGGCTTAAAATAAATTGCACAGATTCTAGCGCAAAGAATAAAACAACAAATAAAAGTGTGCACTGTAAAAAACGATCCCAAATTTGAAAATTAATAGAATTAAATTTTATTATTTTTATATATGCAACACTGGTGTCATATGAAAAATAATAAAGAATTATGAGTTTTGAGATATTGTTTGTAACAATCAAAGTACCTACAATAAAAAGGATATAGCAGTTTAATAAACATATATTTTTTAAGTGGTAAATTATTTTTTATTTTTATATATTCAATATTAGTCTCATATGAGAGATAATAAAAAGTTATGAGCTTTGATATATTTTTTGTAACAATCAGTATATTAAAAAGTTATAGTGCTTTAAAAATCAAATTTTATTTTAGTGGGGTTCTGATTGATTTTGTTCAATGTAGTAGTATCTACCCAGGAGTATAATTAATACACGTAGGAGTGTTTGCAACTGCTTCTGCTTAAAAAAACGCACTTTTGGAGATGTAAGGAAAAATTGATTAGTAGTAAAAGTTGATAGTATTTGAGAAAAAAGTGATTTTTGAAAAGTAAAAGTTGATAGTTTTGCTAAAATAAGTGCTTTTTGTGTAATAGAAAAGGGAAAAGCACTTTTCACACGCAAGCCGAGAAAAAGTAAAAATTGGTAGTGTTTGGTAAATAAGTGTTTTTTAAGCCGAAAGATGAGAAGTGCTTTTTTTAAGTTGTTGCAAACACTCCCGTAATATATGAATGAGTATTGAAAACAGAAATTGTGATTGAATAGAATTGTTGAAAGATGACAGGTGACAAAAGTTTCCTAAATTGTATCTTTCAATGTATTATTTATAGATAGATGTATTATTTACAGATTTTGAGATTTAATAAGCTTTTAAATTGTTTTCATAGACAAAAATGTAGAGTAACTAGTTTATTTCTTACCACTTTATAGTGCTATCTTTTTTGTTTATAGATCATGATTCATGATGTCTAAATTTTTACATTTTAAAATTAGGTATTACTCTCTCCGTCCCTTAAAACTTTGCCAACTTTCTTTTTTGTATGTCCCACTAACTTTGTCACTTTCCCTTTTAAGTAAAGAATTTCTGATTCCAGTTAATTCTCTCTCATGTGCACAAACCTCAACCACAGAGTTTTTACTTTATTAATCTCTGTGCCTGTCAAACTTGGAAAAATTTTAAGGGACGGAGGGAGTATTTAATTTATGTGGTTGTGAGTTTTTGAATTTATAGATTTGTGGTTAGATGTTATGTTGATTAATTTGCCATTTACAAAGTTCTCGGTTCTTTTACAAAAAAGAACTGAGAACTTGGACAGAATCGACCCGTTTGAAACTGGACGGGTTAGATCTAGCTGGTTCCTATTGCTAAACTTGGTATAATCGGACAGAATCTATCAGCTAAATGGATCCGACGATTCTTAAAAATTTACGGAGGACCGACCCGAACCGCGCCCATCCCTGATTTCCACGTGAACTCGTTAAGGCCGATTATATTGGCGGAAAGACGAGGTAATTTGGGCTAGTATTGGATCGGATAAGAGCTGGGGTCCACATATCTCTGCAGATCCCGAAGCACACACTACCCGGCCTCCTTGTGGCTGGCTGGCTCACAATTTCAGAACAGGACCGATTCTCCCGCGAAAACCAACCCCACCCCCGCACCGACCCGCACGTTTCCCGCCAATATATTCATCACCGAAGCACACGGTCCACGTCGACACCAGCTCTGCCGCTTCTGCGCAAATGCTGACACGTGCGCCACGATCCCGCCACCGCCTTCCCCTGTTTCGCCGCCCAATGCTTCTTCTTCTGATCCACCCATCAATTCCTCCATAAATACCCGCCGCGCCACTCCCCCCAGCACTATCCCCTACTCCCTACACTTCTGAAACTCCGATCTGTCCCGCCGCACTCCCGTGATTTCATTCCCCTGTTTCCCGCAGCTCATAAATTCGACTGGTGGAGATCGATGGTGGAGGAAGAACTACTCGCCGCGGGGTGCAGGACACCGGAGAGAGAGGATTGCCGGATCCCGGCGATGGCCTCTCCGCCTTCGCCGCCGAGGAAGAAGCGGTCTGACTGCCTTGGAAGAGGAAAAAGGGTGGCGCCGCCCAACAATGGGTACTTTCAGTCCGCCGAGCTGGACCTTTTTTTCGCCCGGCCGCCTAGGCGCCAAGTCAACGGTGGTCAAGTAGTGGAGAAGCTTTTTGGGTAATTACGGCAGATACTTCGTATATGATTATATTATAGATGCATGCAAAGTATGGAGTTTGGCACTCCGGCCACAAGCAAGAATATAATAAGCTCCGGCGGTTTTCTTCAAAAAAAGCTCCGGCGGTTAGTTATATGGTTCTATTTTCACTAGTTTCGCCTCAAGTAAAGAGCTAGCAATGGATTCTTTTTGTTGGTAACAAATTTTGTAACTAAATTGTTACCAATTAAGGATAAAAGGCATGTTGGACGATAGAGGAATTTTTGTTTAATTTGCTAGTGATGAAAGTTTTGTAATCATGCAAATTTATTATATTGCTGTTTCGTCCTTCAAGTATACAAGCAATTTCTTTGTTAGTCTAAAAATTCATTTGTTGCTCATTTCCATTTAAGAAATATATATACAATCTTTGTTTTCTAAATGACTTGCATATGTGATAACTGATAAGTGCATGAATGATGTTAAGTGGTGGAGAAGTTTGTGCAAGCTGAGTTCATTGAGCTGAGTGAAACCAAAATTGTATGAGCCTCCCTCATGCAGAGTAATACTACGTATTTTATGTAAAATTTTGAATTGTCTGTTACTCTGTTATCATTTAATTTTGGCACCCGAGTGGCTCATGTTTATGTCAATATGTGTAAACTTCTGTGTAGTTTTTTTTACCTAAACTATTTTAATAGTTAAATATCAAATTTAATTTAGAAAAAGCCTATTTAATTTTAATGTGCTTTTGTTATGTATTTGTATGTGCTCCGTTGTACGGACGGAGTACAAAAAATACGGAGGCCAATATATTAGGGTCATTCATTTTACATATTCCAGCATATAAAATTGTATGATTGAGGTTCAGGGCTAAACTTCAATCGATCTTATTGTAGAGGGAGTTTGATATTGTTCTTTTTACCTTGGTAGATATATTTTGGTGGCTTTGAAGTACATTCACACATCTTCTTTGATAACATTCTACTTAACTACTCTGATAATTATGAAGAACAAGGGGTTTAATTTAAGTATAATTAAGTGTGTAATTAATGAAAGATGGGACAGATCGAAAATGAAAGATGAGACATATCTTCTTTGGGGTATAATTTTAAGTCATACATTTGGTTTTATATTATATATTTAATTAATTATTTAGAATTTTTATGTGAGTGTGTGTGTATGCATATCTAAAAAAGACTAGATTATTGTTCTAAAATCTCTAAAATTATGAGATGATTGTAATTTAGTAATAAATTAAATACTTTTTTTTTTGCAAAATAAATTAATTACTTACCGTCAAAGTTAACGCAAATTTTAATGGAAAGGCTCGATTATATAAATTGAATAGAAAAAGGACTAAAATGATAGATTTAATAGTTCGAGGACCAAAATGATATGGTGATGGTAGTTCAAGGACCACATTTTACTCTATTATTATATATACAAAATAGTATAAACAAATACTATAACAAATGTATTGCATACACCAAATGTATACTATAACAAATGTATTGCATATAACAAATGATATGGTGATGATAGTTTCCACATTTTACTCTATTATTATATATACAAAATAGTATAAACAAATACTATAACAAATGTATTGCATACACCATTTACTCATTTAGGGGTTTATGTTTCATATAGTGCATGAATGATGTTAAGTGGTGGAGAAGTTTGTGCAAGCTAAGTTCATTGAGCATTTGAGCTGAGTGAAACCAAAATTGTATGAGCCTCCCTCAAGCAGAGTAATACTACGTATTTTATGTAAAATTTTGAATTGTCTATTACTCTGTTATCATTTAATTTTGGCACCCGAGTGGCTCATGTTTATGTGTAAACTTTTGTGTAGTTTTTTTTTTTGACTAAAACTATTTTAATAGTTAAATATCAAATTTAATTAAGAAAAAGCCTATTTAATTTTAATGTGCTTTTGTAATGTATTTGTATATGCTCCGTTGTACGGACGGAGTACAAAAAATACGGAGGACAATATATTAGGGTCATTAATTCATTTTACATATTCCAGCATATAAAATTGCATGATTGAGGTTCAGGGCGAAACTTCAATCGATCTTATTGTAGAGGGAGTTTGATCTTGTTCTTTTTACCTTGGTGCATATATTTTGGTGGCTTTGAAGTATATTCACACATCTTCTTTGATAACATTCTACTTAACTACTGTGATAATTATGAAGAACAAGGGGTTTACTTTTTTCTTCTATTTTATAATGGATTTCAACTAATTAAAAGCAAAAATGTCTTAAGAAATGTCTTAATGGGAACGAGAATAAATGATTAGATCCTGCTTTCAATTAAATCGTGTTTAATTCTATAAACAGCTCCCAAATTACTATTCACAGAGGGTGTAGCACAACTTTTAATAATTACTATTCACAAAGGGGTGTACACAACTTTTAAGAAAAAATACAATTATTGTGTGATTGGTATTGAATTGATAAAGTGTGAATAAAGTAAGAACGAATGGTAACCACCCAAATATTACCTAATATGGTATGAGACAAACTTAATAGGACGGATGAAAAAAGTAAAACGAGACAAAGTTAGGGGACGGAGGGAGTAATATATTAAATTAAATCAAATATCTATAATACCCTTAGGGAGTGTTTGCAAATGCTTCTTCTTAAAAAAAAAGCACTTTTAGAGATGTAAAGAAAAAGTGATTAGTAGGAAAAGTTGATGGTGTTTGAGAAAAAAGTAATTTTGAAAAGTAAAAGTTGATAGTGTTTGGTAAAATAAGTGCTTTTTGTGTAATAGAAAGAAGAAAAGCACTTTTCACACGCAAGCCGAGAAAAAGTAAAAATTGGTAGTGTTTGGTAAATAAGTGTTTTTTTAAGCCAAAAGCTGAGAAGTGCTTTTTTTTAAGTGATTGCAAACACTCCCTTACTATAGCTAGATTAATGAGGCCATTGGACGCAGTCGTTTCGTAAAGAGTAAAAAGCAGAAACAACGCTGATTCATCCAAGAAAGCTTTCAAATGCACAAAACGGATCCTTCAAGTCCTTAGGCAAGTACTAACTGATACTACGTATATAGGATATGGTCCCAGACCCCATGACCCACATATTCAAAAGGACAGAACATTAGAGATAGGCATCCGCATAGCATGCCTTCGGCTAGATGGATCCCCCATCAGCCAGAAGGCGTCCCATCGGCCAAAACCAAAAGGATTCAGATCGAAGCACAGAAGCCCAAAGCGAAGTGGGTCCCCCATGGGCATGGTACCCCTGGCGCGATAGAATAATTGTTATACTTATCTGATAAAACATGTACTAAGCCCATTAGTAACCTTATCATGCCCAAAAGAGGCTTTATTATTGTAATGGGCCTCCTAAGTCCAAGGCTAAGAACCCAAATCCACATTTACTCCTATAAATAGCCCCCAGGGTAGTTATAGGAGTTAAGAAATATTAATTGCTCAATTTCTTTCTCTAGCTCTCACTCCTCTCTCGACTTTAATACTCTATCAGATAGTCTCTTTGAAATCACATGTTCCTTAGGGTTAATGCATGAGAAAATTAAACTCATACCTTTCAACAATTACGAGCTTGATAAGAGCGTAATTGGTACACAGTATTACAATTACACTATTGTATATTGCATGACATACATATTACAGTTACGGTAGTATTAATATACATATTACACATTTACACATGTACAATGATCCTTCAATACACAAATTTACAGAATGCCAGTTATTTGATGATTCAATTCGTAGAGTGGCTCTTCTTTGTGATTTCAATCCCACTGGACAGAACAAATAATGAAGCTCTTTTTTGGCAGATTATAAATTTAGAGACCCTGTAATATTACAAATGCACAATGGTCCAACAATATACTACGTACAAATTTACAGACTGCCACATCTTTGTGATTTCAAGCCTAGTGGGCAGAACAAATAAGGAAGCTCTTATTGGAAAAGTCAAATACATTCCCACGTGCACAGAATTGGTAGTAAATGCAAACAAAATTGCTATTGGTACCCCAAATCCTACCCCATTTCGTACCCCTCCCTAGTTTTGTGGTTTAGAAAAACAATGAATTAAGTGGGGCAATTATTTTGTGGGGTTGGAGTTTTGTGAGCCACTCATAGAGTGAGGTACAAATGGGGTACCCATTTTGGGTACCTGCATTTCTCAAATGGAAATACCTTATCAGTCAACAGACACAAAAAGACACAAAAACAATCATATGTGAAGCAGAACATACAAACGGTATTGTCAACGCCAAACTAACTAAAAAGTTATATTTCCTTAAATAACTGAAAACTAGATAAATTTCTGATTGAGTTCATGTTGTTTAATACGTAGTACTACTTTGCATTTTTTAAACGTGATTTTGAGAACTTCGGTAGATAAAAAAATTACAAAAGGCATGATTAAAATTGTTGTGCAAAACTTAAAATGTTTTCGAAGAAACTGTTTTAGCTCAAATAAATATCTCAAAATATCAAAATCATGTCGACTAACATTGTCTTAATCCAAGAGGGCCTAAATTGTATCAATTGGTCTACTAATTTAGTACTCCCCTCCGTCCCATTTATTTTGTCCCGTTTTACCTTTTCGGGAAGTCTCACTTATATTGTCTCATACCATATTTGGCAATGTTTGTGTGGCTCTAAATCATTGTTACTTTATTCTGACTTTATCAATTAATATCAACCACACAAACCCACTTTTCTTAATAACCGTGCCACCCTCTTCCGGGACAATATAAATGGGACGGAGGGAGTAGCTCTCAAACAACTTATCAACTCAATTTGTCTTATCCGTCCCTTATAACTTTGTCAACTTTTCTTTTTTGGATGTCCCACTAACTTTGCAACTTTCCCTTTTAAGTAAAGATTATGTGGTTCCAGTTAATTCTCTCTCATCTGCACAAATCTCAACCACACAGTTTTACTTTATTAATCAACGTGCTGGTCAAACTTGGCAAAATTATTAGGGACGGAGTCCAAAAATGCATTATCATTAAGGAGAAAAGAAGAACAGATCATGAGGAGATGGAAAAATCAGAAAGTGAAATCTAGGAGAAATAGGGAAATTGCATGACCCTCAAACACATCCCTGCCAATAAGTTAACCACCTGTGTTTTCCTGAACCAAAAAAAAAACTTGTTTTGAAGAATGACTGTATGCTCTAGGCGCATAATCTCAAATCTCAATAGGAGTAAAAGTGGGGTATTGGGTGGAGCTAGGGTACACAAAATTTGTACACAAATTTTGAAATTTGTACACAAATTTTGAAATTTGTACACAAATTTTGTGTACCCCGATCTTTTTTCCTAAAAGTGTCATGTTCAAAATTTTAACATAAGCCAACAAGTGTCCTTTTTTATCAAAGTAATCTGACTTTTCGATGTATTATCCAAAAAAAGTGGGTAACTCACAACTAGCACACGCAACCATAATTGCTTACAACCAGAATAGTATACACCTGCTAATAGGAGCTACTTTGTTTTATTATTATGAGTAAAATGTATATAGTCTCAATTATCATTACCATATCATTTTGGTCCTTGAATTACTATATCCATCATTTTAGTCTTTAATCTATTTAATCTATATTAATCGAGTCCTTCCGTTAAAATTTTCCGTTAACATTAACGGTAGCTACTTTATTAACATCTCATAATTTTAAACATTTTCGAACAATGCAATTACTCTTAAAATTTAAGTAGCTAATCTATTTTTAAAATATACATATATACACATACACAAATAAAAATTATAAATAAATAATTAAATAAATACTATAAAATCAAATGTATGGCTCAAATAATAATCCGTAGTATATAATAGAGAATCAAATAACTCAATTATATGCATATAAGCAAATAAAATTAGAAAACCAAGATGATTGTTACTATTATTAATTATATTAAGAGAAAATTAATGACTAAAACTCATCCATTTTTCCAATACATGCCCTCATTAGTTTTTCCCAAAATAATACTCCGTATTTAAATTCATAATATCTTATAAATAAATAAATAAATATTTTTATGGACTTATTTGCCCTTACATTTTTTACCATAAAACCATATGCCCCAATCTATAAACTATAGCCATTAGCCCGTCGCCGCGGCACCTGTCGTCCCCGTCGCTGCAGCACCCGCTGCCCCAATCTCCGCAGCACACGCCTCCCCCGTCGCCGCCGTCGTCCCCATGCGCCGCCGTCATCTCCATAAAGTAGGAATAATAAAGAACCACACAAATTATACCAAATTTGATATGAGACCATTATAGTGGGACACATCGAAAAGGAAAGATGAAACAATCTTAGCGGGTTGGAGGGATTATATAATTTAAGTCATACATTTGGTTTTATATTATATATTTAATTAATTATTTAGAATTTTTATGTGAATGTGTGTGTGTGTATATGCATATGTAAAAAAAGACTAGATTATTAGCTACTTAAATTTTAAGAATGATTGTATTGTTCTAAAATGTCTAAAATTATGAGATGATTTTATGTAAGTAATAAATAAATTACTTACCGTCAAAGTTAACGACAAATTTTAATGGAAGAGCTCGATTGATATAGATTGAATAGAAAAAGGACTAAAATGATAGATTTAATAGTTCGAGAACCAAAATGATACGGTGATGATAGTTCAAGGACCACATTTTACTCTATTATTATATATACAAAATAGTATAAACAAATACTATAACAAATGTATTGCATACACGGATACACCATTTAGGGATTTATGTTTCATATAGTAGTCCATATATTTCAGCGGAAACGACAAAGTGAAAACATAGAAATCAGGGATGATTAAGCTATAGGGGAACTCATCAACAAAAAACTTTCATCATTTCAAGCAATACACGAATCCAAATTTGGAATATAAACCGTCTAAAATTTGACAATGACTAAAATTTGGAGAGAAGTAAATGACTAATAATTACCATTACCATCCATGGCATGTCCAAGGAACCTCATGAAATCATGGGATGCTCTGATCAGAGCCTTCCGCAGCTCACCGGTCTTCACATGTGCAGTAGGAACCGTGTGAAGATCGATCTCGAATCGAATTTGCTTTCTGTTTTTTTGTTCTGGCTGACTGAGGATAATCAGTGGAATCGTCCGTCTCATCTTATCCACCCTTTCGCCTTCCGGCTGGAAAATGAAATGTGAATGGATATGATCTCCATTCTCCAACCAGTTCTTCCTCGTTCTGGAAAGTTGTGACAACAGTAAGAGTGAACATCCCAAAATAGTGGAAAAACCGGGCTGCGTTTAGCAAAAGAAAAAAGACTGATGTACACAAAATTTGTACACAAATTTTGGACACTTGTATGTCCCTTACAGACAAATTGTCTGTCCGGAGATGAGTTGTCTGTGAGGGATAGACAAGTGTACAAAATTTGTGTACAAATTTTGTATACACCTAGATCAACCCTTAGCAAAAAGGGCACAGTGGGAATTATGAAAAATGGTTTATCTTATCCGGGAGTATGTGTGTGGTTAGGAAAGGTGTGAGTGTGAATAGAATTTTCCTAAAAGCAAATATGATTTAATGACTGAATGATTAAATCAATGTTCAAATTAAGTTAGTCCATTAAGCTAAAATTAAGTAAATTGTGTGTGTTCTTTTTAATGTTTGTATATACAAAGTATTAAAAATCATCCAAAACTAATAACATGTGTGAAGAACTATCTAAACTGGCTAGCTAACCTAAATCCCGTTCGAAGGTTGGGGGCGAGAGAGATTTTTAAATGGTCAAACCAAGAGTCCAAAACTAGTACGAGACAGGCCTCGATTTAATGTCCAAAATATCCAAAATGCATCAAGTATTATAAAAAATAGGGTCCCTAAAAAATAAAGGGAAAACTGTCAAATAGGTTCTCGAACTTTCATAAAAAGGTCAAATAAGTCCTTATATAAGAGGTTCTGTTCGGCCGTCGTGATTTGGGGCGGTTCCCGGTGGAATTTTTTGATGGAAATTTTTTAGCATCTTATTCGTCAAGTCTAGTTTACTCATACCAAATTTCAGCTAAAACTTCAAATCGGGGATGCATTCAAATTAATTCTTGAAGATAATTGTCCAGTTAAATGCACATTTATCTTCAAGAATTAATTTAAATGCGTTCTCGATGGAAGTTTTACCTCAAATTTGGTATGAGTAAACTAGACATGATGAATAAGATGATCAAAAATTTTCATCAAAAAATTCCACCGGGAACCACCCCAAATCGCGACGGCCAGATAGAGCCTCCTATATAAGGACTTATTTGACATTTTTATGAAAGTTCGAGAACCTATTTGACAGTTTTCCCGAAAAATAAAACATCACATAACATGCTTCCCAAGACAATAATGAAGGCCCGGAGCCAGTACAACAGCATCCAAAGTCCTAGTAATATCCAGACGCCCCGATCTATCTAGTGAAGGTCCGTCCCAACAACAAACATCCATCTCAGTTTAGGTGAAGCCCAATCATCCTCGGTCCATTAGGGTTTCGCATCCAATACCAGGGTGAATCCCAAAGGCGGCCCATTCCCAACATATTCGTCAGCGCCGCAAAAGAATAGGCGTGAATCACCAAATTCAAAATGGCTGTTGACTAAGCGCATTCCACCAAGTGCGGCTCTCTTCTCTTAAAAGCCAAGTAAGTCCGAATGGGGTACTAAGGGTGTCCCTTAGGCCTCTTAAAAGGTTATTCCTTTTGTGTGGAGTGGAAAGAATGGGATGTGGGCTATTCTCCACCAAGTGTCACAATTAAGTACAAACGAGGTCTAATTCTTATCATTTTATTCTCTAATCAACCCCACTTCATCATGATCCGCCCCAACTGATATTTACACCATATTCTTTTTGTCTTGTAAGTGCCAAGGAGGTGTGGGACGCACCCCGTTCGGTCCTAGTCAGCTCAGAAGGAAAATCTTTACCGATAATTCCTTATGGAGGAAAATTTGGTCTTATTGTTTGTGTCTTCGTAATGTGATTTCACTTCGTAAAATATCGGGCTCTTATACTTACCGAGATGGCCCACACAAGTACTTGGAAACTCACTCACGAAACACGGATTCCAACGATCGGTTAATAGAACAACAGTTACATATAACACTACACGTTTTACACAATACCGCAGCATTAGTTACATGAAACATCCCTCGTGTTACACACGGTTGGTAATAACAAATTCAATGCATCAATATGCAATTTTAAATAGTCAATTTCAAGTACGCTCGGGTGCGGTGTCACATAAGCACTTAGCACACACAACACTAAGGCATTGTCGAGGCTTACTTAGCTACTGCAGAGGGCAGAAAGGAGCTAAGGCCGCACGTGAGTTTGCTAAGGGAACAAGTCTGTGACAATAAGCTCAGAATTAGAGTTGGAGAAAGTAAACCTGTATAAAATATATTACCTCCGCCCCACTAAGATTGTCTCATTTTATCATTTCGGTCCCTCCCACTAAGATTGTCTCATACATTATTTGGTAAAGTTTGGGTGGCTCTAAATTATTTTTACTTTATTCTTACTTAATCAATTCAATATCAACCACATAAACCCCTTTTTATAGATTTGTGTGTCACTCCCTCTTGTTCCATTGTTAGTGGGACAGAGGGAGTATCATGTATTACGTAAAAGAAAAGAAAAAAAGAAAAGGATGGAGACGTGGGGAATGAGGAAAAGAGAGTAAGGAAGCACTTAGAGTTAAAAGTTGTTCTGTTTGTCTTAGGGAGTGTTTGCAATTGTTTCAACTTTAAAAAGTGATTTTTCAAAGTGATTTTGGGAAAAGTGATTAATAGTAAAAGTTGGTAGTGTTTGAGAAAAAAGTGATTCTGAAAAAGTAAAAGTTGGTAGTGTTTGAGAAAATAAGTACTTTTAGAAAAAAATCACTTTTTTCTAAAAGTGATTCTAAAAATGATTACGGAGTACCATAAAATGGGGATGTACCATGCACTGGGCCACAGATGCACATGGTGTACCTTATAGTTTGCCTAAAACGGATACCATCATAGGTGAGGCACTAATATACTCCCTGGTTAGACCATTTGGAGTGGTGCAAGAGTCCAAATGTTAAAAATGGATTCCGTCGATATGAAAACAGTGTTTTGACTCCTATTTCTCTGCATTCCAGCACCGTCAATAAAATACACTCTGAACATTTTTTTACATATCAATTTATTAAAACATTAATTAAATTATTATAAGTAATGTTTTCTTTTTAATTTTTCTCTGATTAATCATAAAATAAAAAAGAAACATTTTAATGTAAAAATAAATAAATTTCATTACTATTTTTTTCCAACAAAATTTTAATTAAAAATAATTGAAAAATAAAATAAATTATTTTAACTGTTGGATTTCAATTTCAGCCTTTGGATCAATCTTTTTCCCGTTCAAACAGTGTCCAAATGATCACAACCGAGTGTGATAAATCTACCAATTCTTTAAAGGGAAAAATAATTAAAATACCCCAAACTTTGAAGAGGTGTGAAATAAACACCTCAAACTTTCATATGTAATTTAAATACTCCAAACTTTATATGAAAAGTTATTTTAACACCATGGTCATGTATTATATCTTTCAAAAATGTAAATTTATGGTGTTAATTACATAATTTAAAATAGCAAAGTGAAAATGTTGCAATTATATTAGGTGGAGGATAATACTATTTATTTTACAATGGAAGTTTACAAATGTTAATCGTATCTTCATGAATGCCAAAATATTGTAAATTATGAAATTAACACAAAAAATTAGCATTTTGAAAGAAATAATAAAAGGTCATGGTGCTAAAAAATTTTATATAAAGTTTAGGGTATTTAAATTACATATGCAAGTTTGGGGTGTTTATTTCACACCCTTTCAAAGTTCGGGGTATTTTAATTATTTTTCCCTTCTTTAAAATAAAAAAGCCAGATGCCATTGTGAGTGTCACGTGACACGAGCATGACACCATCATGATGTCATGCAATTAGTTTATATCCTGCTCACCATGCCCAGATGGCATCTTTTCCTCTGCGCAACCAAACTGTCCGTCCCCACCCTTATTACTTTTTATTTTCCATTTAATTTTAGGGAGTCAACTTCACCCTTCAAATATAGAACCCTCCATCCCATTACCCATTTTTACTCTCCCACTTTGCCAACCACTACAAGGAATTAGGAGTCCAAAAATTCCACTTTTAACATTTTAGACTCCTAATCCTACACCACTCCAAGTGGTCTTAGGGCTTTATTATGCATATACGGAGTATATTAATAGGATGTATCCATTCTTATACCCACCTTTTACCTGTTTGTGAATTGTTTTTTTGTTTTTGAACCCGATTCACGGAGAATATTTTGTTTATGCAAAATATTGTCTATGAACCGGAGTTCACAGACAAAAAAAAACAATTCACAAATATAGGTGACAAAAGTGGATATAAGAATGTGAACAAACATCATTTTTGACATATTAGTTCTTGGGGTCAGAAGCACGTGGGATTATTGAGAAGGCTCATAAATGTCTCCGGTCCCTTCTTCTTCTTCGTTGCATTGGCGCGTACCTCAAATCTTAAAAGATACGGAGTGTAGATGAGAGATTAATGGTTATGTTCTTCAAGCTCAGACAGAGCAGGTTCGGGGCCAACAGACTGCCATTAATTTGGTGGCCAATTCAAGCTCGCCCAGATTTTGAGTTTTACGGCGAAGGGAGCATTTAAATGGAAGTATCCATCACACTGCTTAGCTTTCTTTCATCCGCCTCTTTCTGAATTACTAGGCCGGCCGGCGCATTTCTTTTGCTGCTATCCCTCCTCTCACTCTAAGGTAAGCACTTCCAAAATATTCTATCATACGGAATATATCTTTATCTATAATATTTTCATAAAATTTTCATATATTTTAATTAGAAATACGTTTGTTCGACAACCGTTTCTTTTAGTTTTCAAAATTACCGTATAGGCTCACATAAAGTGTTATTACAATAAAATTTATTTACAAAAATATAACTATTAGTTATTACTGTTACAATATAGTATCATAGTAACTGAGTTTTAAAATTTGAACATAAGTTACTATGATTTCATTTTAGTCGTAATTATTTCCTTTTACATGATGTAATACTTAATTAGAAATTTAAAATAACAAAGATGTAGGGAAAACTATCAAATATGCTTTCTTACTACAGCAAAAACTATCAATTATACCCTCGTACTAAAATAACACCCAATCAAACCCCTCAATTACAAATTATCACCCAATTCCTCCATTTTGAAGGTTACCTTCCAGTACAAGATATATAGCTATATTGAGGACTGTATTTGCAAGTCTTCCAATCGAGTCTAATTGTAGAATCACAAACAGTTTGAGGGCTTATTTCCCCATTTTCTCAAATATAAATGTTTGTTGACATTACATTACACAATTCATGTACTTCTTACTTTCTAAAAACAATGCATTGCATAGAATAAATTTTAACTTATTTCATCATTAATACATACTTCCTCCATGTTAAAACTTTTTCATCTTTCCTTTTTGGGACATTCCAAAAAACTTTGCTACTTTCTCTTTTAATCAATTATTTTGTGGTTTATGTTATTTCTTTCTCCTTTGCACAAACATCAACCACAAAGTTTTTACTTATTATTTTCTGTGCTGGTCAAACTTGGCAATGTTTTGAAGGATGGAGGTAGTATATAATATGGACCATATCACTAACCATATAATTTTATTCTAAAAATAATATATAATCTCATACATAGCATTGTAACATCAAGAAAACTCTGCGACTCATGAACACTCGCCTTGAGTCCTTGGTAGATCAAAAAATGCAATTCAAAAACCAATTTCTTATGCCGATAACATTCATGTGGTTAAACAAGGCAAAAGTTATTTATAAAGTATTGGTGGATGTGTATCTTTTAAACTTTTATCTTTACATAATTCTCCTTTGATTTGTTATTTCTTACGCTTTAATGTATCAATACATTTTTTAGAGCGCTTCAATTATAAAATCACAATTATTTTTTCAATGTCTAAACTTAGATTTAAATGTCGTGTATGTACTAATTGGATTTTTTTGAATAAAAATAAACTGCAAAGCCCTACACTAGGCCTTGCTACACTAGCGAAAAAAATCATCTCAAAAAATCCTGCCGCGTTAGGCCGCTACACCAGTGAAATTCACCCCCTACACTAACGAAAACATTTTGTCCTCTTGATTTGAAATTCTCGATCCGTCCCTTAGTCTAATACCAATATTTGTGGTCCGTATTTTGTTGTGATATTATATATTTTGTTTATACTAATTAATCCAGAGTTTATCAATTTCCAAAAAAAATCCAGAGTTTATTCGATTTTTTTTGTGCAATCTCATACGCAGCTTTGTGTTTAGATATTGCAGTCTTTGTGCACCCTAATTAATACAGCGATAGCTACTATAGTCTTTTCTTATTATTTTCTGCACATAGTATCCTTAGCTGAAATTTGTGGCTTATGCGCATATGTTTTCAATTCTATCCCCCCATGGTCTGGCGGATAGAGAGGGGATATAACAGCCAGAATGAGGTGGATGTTTTATCACAGTTGCAATAGGTCTAAATTTGTGGTTTTTAGAAATCCAATTTTACTCTATAATATCATTAATATGAATGAGGTAATGATGAACAAATAAAAACGCATGTAATTGTTATACTAGACAATGAAGAGTACTTATAGAACATTCCCCTCCTCATTCAGTTCATTTTTATTGTTTTTTTTATTTGTCTGTTTATCCCCTTTCCATATGTGGGTACAGGTTTCTGGTCTTAGAAGGTTATGGATCATCCTCTCAGAGGGCTGCCTGAGACCTCTATAAACAGGTTCGAGTTAGAGAATGAAGTCATTTTTCCGACTGTTGAACAATCACTGGGCATTCCAGACAATGATAATATTCATGGCCTTGGTACTCATTCTCCTGCTTTGGACTCTGATCCTATGCTAGACTATATTTGCCAGATTCTACTGGAGGAGGATAGCATTGATGGGAACAATCACAACATGTTCTTTGACCCCATTGCTCTTACAGCTACTGAGAAATCGTTTTATGAAGCCTTGCGTGGTAACCCTTCCTCGCCTTTTTACACTAATGATATTGATCCTGCAGAATCTAAATCATCTGTGACCTATGATTTGAGCTATGATGTTGATTCTGTTGAATCTATATTATCTGTCACATGTGATCATACGGATCTTACCATCCAGCCATCATCAAGGCAGACTAACATGGATGGGCTAAATGGGGCTTCACGTAGCCTTCATAGCCTTAAATTGGTTCCAAATTTAGGTTGTGATCACAGTGAGTCGATGTTGAAATTAAAGAGAGGTGTGAAGGTAGCTGATAAATACGGATTGCCTACAGAGGCCAAAAGTGATCTCATCCCTATAGAGAAGGACCAATCAGCTGACTTGTGTAGAGGAAGGAAACATTACCATCCAGATGAAATTGGGTTGGAAGAAAGGAGAAGCAAGCAGTCTGCAGTATATAAGGAGGAGGCTGAGTTGTCAGAGGTGTTTGACAAAGTTTTGTTGTGCACTGATGATAATGACTCTCCATCCAGAGTCAGCCGCCCACAACACAAAGGGCGAAGTGGTCGCAAGAGCCATTCAAAGAAAAGAAGAGATAATTGTGAAATTGTTGATCTAGAGTCTCTTTTAACCAGCTGTGCACAATCTGTTGCTGCTAATGATTATAGGGCTGCAGAAGTTAAATTAAAGAAGATCAGGCAGCACTCTTCGCCTGCCGGCGATGCAAACCAAAGGTTGGCTAACATATTTGCTGACAGTCTTGAGGCACGGTTGGCTGGAACTGGGACACAGCTGTGTGCGGCTTTATCTCCTAATAACATCATAATCACCGAGACGCTAAAATCCTACCTGTCATGTTTGCCATTTACGAGAATATCAATTTTATTTGCTAATAACATGATTTACGAAGTAGCATCAGAAGTTGCATCACTGCATGTTATAGATTTTGGTATTCTTTACGGTATCCAGTGGCCCACTCTTATTCGGGATCTGTCACAGAGACCTGGTGGTCCTCCAAAACTTCGAATAACAGGGATTGATCTTCCACAACCTGGTTTTCGTCCATCACAAATGTTAGAGGAAACTGGTTGTCGTTTGGCAAAATATTGTGAGCGTTTCGGTGTGCCATTCGAGTACAATTCCATAATAGCGAACAATTGGGAGACACTTAAAACCGCTGAATTTAAGCTTGTAAAGGGTGAGGTGGTTGCTGTTAACTGTATTGATCGACTCGAACACCTTTTGGATGAAACAGTAGTTATTGGGGAAAGCCCAAAGGATGCAATTCTAAATTTAATTCGGGAAGTAAATCCTCATATATTTGTGCAATCTGTCCGTAGTGGAGCTCACAACTCTCCTTTCTTTCTCACTCGGTTTCGGGAGGCTCTCTCCTTCTATTCTGCTGTCTTTGATATGACAGATGCTACTTTACCTAGCCATGGTAATGAGAGGTCGAATTTCGAAGAACAATTTTTGAGACGCGATATAATCAATATCATTGCATGTGAGGGCATGGAAAGATTGGTGAGGCCTAACACATACAAACAGTGGCACTCTCGCATGATGAGGATTGGCTTCACTCCCATATCCATAAACCCTGAACTTATGAAGAAGTACATGTGCAAGGTGAGGGAAGGATATCACAAAGATTTTCTTTTTGCACAAGACGGCCATTGGATCCTACAGGGATGGAAAGGCCGGATTTTTGGTGGTACCTCTTGCTGGGTAAGTGCACAACGTACTCACAACCTCTGATTATATAACTTACATCTTTCAGCATTTTGAAAACTTTACACACAGTAAATTTTGAGCAATATTGCAATTCCCATTTCATGCTTTCACACGTTGCTGTCTTTACAATATAGCTCACAAGTCTCAAGTTATTCTCAAGAGTTTAAAGCCTTAAGTTGTTGACAAGAAAATCAAAATGGATTATGTATCCTGTCAAGGTTTTTGCTTGCTAGCTAGCTTCATATATTCCTCTTGTAAGAAGAAGAATGTTCAAAGTGACATGTCTATGTGAACGTACATTATTGTCTTTATGAAAGCTGTACTCTAAGATGAAGCCTTTTTATACTTTGCTGTTGCATATTGATGCCAATGATTTGTTTCTCATAATTTGTTCCGCTTTATGGTAGATGTTATGCATGTATGACTCCCCCCACTTTACACATAACCGATGCAAACTTTAATATGCCGGAAACAAGGGTATGATAGAGAACAGAAGAAAACACTCGTTCTGTTTTACTGCCTTTATAATGATCATTAGTCAAGAATACTGACTGATGGGACTAACCAACTTGTAAGTTTTTTTAATGTAACCAAATTGTAAGTTGTAACTTAATGATCTCACCCTAATGGTATGGAATATAAATTCATATGATATTAGATATTACCCATCAAATATTAAAAATATGTACTACATTCACTCCAAATATTTAAGTGTATATTGAAAATATTGCAGCACCACTTTTTTACTGGGAAATTTATGGTGCCCTATGATTCTAAAATGGAGTCATATAGCACATGTGCCTTACCATTCATTTCTTAAATAGAACCCTCCATAAAATTATAGCACAAGGGTCGTACGCTTGCTCGTCTTGACAATAATTTTTTATACATGTCGCATGAGAGATCAACCTGGTTCCCTAAATTATTGTACTCTACGCCGCGAGAGCGGTTAGAACTTAGTATTGATTAGCGTTGCTCAATTAAATAATTTTCATGTGATTCAGCCTGATCTGCCAGAATCAATCTAGAACCGATTAGTTTAATTGTTTTATTCGCATTTTAATTTTCCAAAAATCCAAATCTCGCACAATTGCATTTTTTTATTATTTATTTTTATTCGCTGAATTTAATTAATTCTTGATTCCTTTTTTCCGTCCCTGTGGAAAACATATTCAGGGTTTGTTTGCAACAACTTTTAAAAAAGCACTTCTCAACTTTTGGCTTTAAAAAAGCACTTATTTTTCCAAACACTACAACTTTTATTTTTCTACTTTTATTTTTCTCGGCTTCCGCGTCAAAAGTGCTTTTACTTTTTCTATTACACAAAAAACACTTATTTTACCAAACACTACCCCCTTTTACTTTTCAAAATCATTTTTTTCTCAAACACTATCAACTTTTATTTAATCACTTCTGCCCATTTCATTAAAAAAGCACTTTTTTAAAAGCAGAATCTGTTGCAAACAGACCCTCATACTTAAACCACTATTCTACTACATATTTTTAAGTGCGAGAAAACTCACATCATCAGGTCAGCCATTTTTTACATGCATCCGGAAAAAGCCCCAGGTTCTAATGGCATGAATCTGGCGCTTTCCCAGAAACTTTGGGACATTGTGGGGCCCGAGGTAGCCAGGTTATGATCAGATATTTCGAATCAGGGACTTTGCCAAAAGAATTAAATGTGACTAATATTGTTTTAATTCATAAGAAGAAGAAACCTTCTATGGGGGATTGGAGACCTATAGCCCTATGTAACGTTGTTTACAATTTCTTTTCAAAAGTCATAGCTAATCGCTTAGAGGATTATTGGGCAACTTAGTGGGGAGAATCAGAGTGCTTTTATTCTAGGGCGGTCAATTGTTGATAATATAATTGTTACTTTTGAAACCCAACATTATCTGAAGCGTAAGTGTCCCGGTAAGGAGGGTCATGTGGCATAGAAACTTGATATGAGCAAGGCATATGACTGGGTTAGCTGGGGTTTCCTTGGAGAAAAGATGTTGCGTATGCGTTTCAACGTAAGATGGGTAGATATTATTATGGATTGTGTTTCTACTGTGAGTTATTATATACAATTTGACAAAGATTTCTTGAGACCAGTTGTTCCAAAGAGAGGATTACGGTAGGGAGATCCTTTCTCACCATACTTGTTTTTCCTGGCAGCGGAAGGTTTGAGTGCCATGTTGCGGCAAGCAGAAAGTAGAGGGAACATTTTTAAAGAGGGGCTCCGCGGGTAATCCATTTGTTGTTTGCAGATGATAGTTTTCTATTTTTTAAAGCAACAAATGGTGAATGAGGCCATTAAAAAATCATAAAGGTGTATGAGAGCAGTTCAGGACATGCAATTAATTTTGCTAAATCTTCGTTGACCTTCATTCAGAATGTGGGAGAGCATTTTAAATATTTTTTATGCCCGTCGTTAGGGATCTCGAGAGAGGGGACAAAACCGATACTTGGGCCTACTGACGCTTGTGGGGAAAAATAAAGCTGTTATTTTGGGGTATCTAAGAGACATAATTTTCGCAGGATCAATAATTGGAATAATCAATTCCTTTCCAGGGCAGGTCGAGCGGTGTTATTGAGGAATGTTACTCAAGCTATGCTCACCAATGCCATGAATGTGTTTCTTTTGCCAAAAGATATGTGTGATGAGATCTAAAAATTGATGAATGGCTTATGGTGGAGGGAATTTAAATTTGATCAAAGAGAGCTACGTTGGCGGTAATGGGATGCTCTGTGTAAGTCAAAAGAAGCATGAGGATTGGGATTCAGGAGAATAAGGGAATTTAATTTGGCTATGTTGGAAAAACAGGTTTGGAGACTTGTCACGAAGACTGATAGCTTAATGAGTCGTGTGCTTACAACAAGGTACTTCCCAAACTCTGACTTTTTACATGCAAAATTGTGTAATAATCATTCGTTCATCTGGCGGAGCATTTTTTAGACCCATACTATGCTCCAAAACAATATCCGCAAAAGACATATTTTTTGTTTAGGTAGATGTTTGGCTTTCGGAACAGGGATCGGGGAAAATTCGATTGGCATGCCCAGTCAGGACTAGGGATATGAACGAACGTGGCTGCTTCCGTGATATTACAAGGAAGTTTTCGAATAGAGAAAAAATCATGTTAATTTTAAACAAGAGGATAGTGCTTTGATCAAGAGGATAGACTAGATGGTTATTGGTGGACGACGTGTGAAATTAATGGGCTGTTCTTAGTTAAAAGTTGTTATAGGCACCCTACCCACCGTGAAAATTTTAAAAAAGAAAGGAGGATAGTGCAAGGAGGATGTAAACTATGTGGAGCCAAGGAGGAGTCATCAGAACATGCTGTTAGAACATGTGTGCATGTTAGAGTAGTCTGGCAGCATGCGGGGATTGGGATCAGGCAAGCTTCATTTCCCATGGAAGATTGGCTGCGGCAGCAGCTTGAAACACTCGGCATGTAAGCACAGTGCAGGTTTATCTCCATTTTATGGAGTATTTGAAAGAGACGAAACAACCTGGTATGGAAGGAGTAGTGACATGAGACGGACGGGGTGTTGAACATCGTTTCTAGCATGCTTTCGAGCTAGAGGGTGGCGCCAATGAGCAGTCCGGCAGCAAAGGATCAGTCTAATAAAGTTGTGACAATCTGGAAAAGGCCCAAAATAGGGAATATATATATTAAGATAAATGTTGATGCGGCGGTCAATTAGGCGGGAATATTAGAGCGTGGGGATGGATATCATGAGATGATCAAGGATAATTTATTAAATCAAAAGGAGTCTCCAAGAAGGCGGGATGGTCTATTGCGGAAACTGAGGCATTAAGAGTAAGGGATGCTATTTTATGTGATGCATAGGAAGGATGGACCAGTGTTGAGATTGAGACTGATGCTCTCATAGTTGTTCAGGGTCTCAAGAAAGATGAAGGCTCTTCTTATTTTCACCTCATTATTGATGATATTAGGAAGATTATGAAAACAAAGAGTAATTTTAATATCTCTTTTTATAAGCGATCTACGAATCGTGTTGCTCATGTTTTGCCTTGAGCACATGTCTTTATCTCAAATCAGAGAATTAGTTATGATGATAATTGTGATTGTATTGTAAGTCAGGTGGCGAGCGATATGCTTATTTAATATAATTAGTTGGTTTTACGATAAAAAAATATTCAAACAAATTATCACTTGCCTTTATATAAACTTATAAGTTATACTCTCCCTTTCTTAAAGACGTAAACATCTCTTATCAATGTTCACGGAAATTGAAAAGCAAAAAAGGAAAGTTCCCGAAATAAGACTAAAATAGTTTGAAAATTCCAAAATAGGATTGCCATGTTTTTTATTCCCAAAATAGGAGTCATTACTGCCGAGTTTGGAAAATACTGCCATGTTTGAAGTCTGGTACAGCCAAAACATGGCATTAATTAGTCTTATTTTGGAAATAAAAACATGTCAGCCCTATTTTGGAATTTCCAAACCTTTTTAGTCCTATTTTGGGTAAATTCTCAAGATAAAAAATGTACAATTAAAATTTATTCATATGAGAAAAAACGTTTAATGAACCATGCAATCATTGTCAGTTAAGAGAAATGTATTTTGAGACAAATCAGATGGTAATTGGTAAAGTAAACTGTTGGGAATCCAGACCAGCTCAGACCTCAATCACCAAAAGCCCAAGGGCTTGCTCACATTCACCACCAGGGTTGCCAAGAGGGAAGACGAAGGGCAACAGTCAACGACCCTCACGCAAAAGCCCCAACCCCAGATCCAAAACAGGAAGACCCACCGGAGATATAACCCACCACACTACCAGACTAGAGTGAAGACCCCAATAGGAACCCAAAGGTCTCACCGGGGCATAGTCGGAGCTAAAACTCATATGGAACCGGCACTCTCTCACTCTAGGTCTAGGGTAACTGATCGAGAGACTCATCGGGTAGAGAGAAGGAGGAGCAGATGAAATAGGAGATTCGAGAAGGAACCTGACAAGTATATCAAGGGCCACAAAAGTCACGCGCTGGGTAGAAAACAAATAGGACGTGTGGGCTTGGTTGGGTAGGCAGCCCAATTGGGCCAGGGCAATAAATAGGAGACCAACTCCTTAAATGAGGTGGACCAAAGGCAACTCAGAGATGGCCCGGGTGAGGTGGACCAATACCATCAACAATCTCCACCTTATTGGTCCCCCAGGTGGTGTAGAGCACAATTGTGAAAGGGAGTATCATCATCGCCGGTGTTTTCTTGTTTTATCTGTTCTTATATAGCCACAATCTAAATTTAGAATACGTTTACAAGACAACAGTTTTTCAAAAGTGAGACATTTAGTCCCCATGTCAGCAGGGTTGAATTCAGAAGCTATTTTGCACAGCTTGATTCCTCCTGTTTCAACAATGTCCCTGATGAAGTGAAACCTGACATCAATGTGCTTGGTCATGTCATGAAATACTGGATTTTTGCACAGTTGGATAGCAGACTGGCTATCAGAGTAAATAGTTACAACCTGTCTAAGAAAACCAACTTCAGATAACATACATTTCATCCAGATAGCCTCTTTAAAGGCCTCAGTGGCTGCAACATGTTCAGATTCAGTAGTAGAAAGTGGGATTTCCAACTTATGCAAGAACCACACAAAGTAAAAATATAGGAAGTAGTAGATTTCCTATTATCCCTACCATTAGCATAATTGGAATCAACATAGCCAGTAAGTAAAATATCAGTATCAGTTTTAGAGAATATAAGACCATGAGAATTGGTACCCTTAAGGTACCTCAGCAACCATTTCAAGGCATTCCAGTGTGGCATCCCAGGGTTGGCCATTTATCTGCTTAAGCACCTAACAACATAGGCTATGTCAGGCCTGGTGCTTAGAATTTCTACACATCAGATTTATGTTCTATCAAGCAGACCCAGACTTTTCTAGAAAAGTCATCAATTATGGACAGAAAATACTTCATACCCCCATGGGTAGGCACACTGGAAGGACCCCATACATCAGCATGTATGTAGTCAAGGACAGTTTTGGACTTAGGCTCACTAGGGTAGCTAGAAACAGGAAACTGAACCCTATGTTGTTTTCCTAACACACAACCTTCACAGAATGGTATAGGTGACACCAAGTCATTTCCAAAACACCCATTTTTTTTTTTTGCAAAATGTGTAATCTTTTATTACTCATGTGACCAAGTCTTTGGTGCCAAAGCACAGACTTGTCATTAAGTACAGCATTAGCATTTTTAGAAAAAGGTTTAACATGAACAACATACAGATTATTTTGTTTCAAAGCCTTGAATAAAGCAAGAGAGTTTTTCAAGATTTTCATACACCCATTCCCCCATTTACCCTCAAGACCACATTCTTCAAAACCAGAGACTGAAAGTAGGTTATGCCTTAAATCAGGTACATGTCTAACATTTTTTATTTGAAAAATAGTTCCATTTTCAAATTTTAGACAGATGTCACTGATACCAAGGACCTTACACCTTTTACTACACTAGTAAAAAAATGGCTTATAATGACACTAAATTAGTATCACTAAACGATTTAATGACACTTTGAAAGTGTCACAGAAAAGCGGGGCAAGTGACACTAAATTTAGTGTCACTGATTCGAAAACATATTAATGTCAACAAATAATGACACTATAATGTCTTACAAAACTATGATGCTATGGTATCATAAAACTTTTTTGACACACAACCAACATAAAATTACATGATACCTTGGCATCATTATTTTATATATACATATATGAGGATACAAATATACGCAGTATATATCATATTTAGTTTATAAATAATTGTGTAATAATTAACAAATAAGATCAACAACTAATGATAAATAACCAAACCAATCAACGTTTCTTTTAATACTCAAATTGTAATACAAAAGTACAAAACATTTATAGAGTCAGATACCAATATTTTTTTACAACATGCTACACTACAATACTACACTTTTAGGAGCACCCCATTTCTACTTGCAACAAATCACAACTATGGCGTTGAGAAGACAACACATCATGGTCATTTGCTAACTCCACCAGAATCATACAAAACCTGAAACATCAACAAAACAACACAAGTAGAAATAAAATTACTAAAGTTACAACACAAGTATTGGATCTGCCAAAAATGGGCTAAAGTGAGAAAAGTCGTGGTTAGAGACTTAGAGGCAATATTAGTCTGAGACATACACTATACAAGATAGGAGTAGAAATGAAATTAATATTAACTGAATACCAAGCGAGTAGATGAGATAAATATACACTTACCAAAAGTCAATCTCCTATCATGTCTTCCGAGTAGCTGAAATATATCAAATCTACTATTGTTGCATCATGATACCTTTTAAAGCTTTTGCCAATTGTTATGGCATTAAAAGCATATAATTAGTTCTTAAGCTTGAAAAAACTAAGAATTGAAAATTATATAGGTGTTGAGAACAAGGTTGACTAAATACCAACAGGCATCTTCGTATTAGGAATCCCAAAAAGAAAGTTAGGAGATACCAACTTAGTTTGTCAGTTCTTCTCACCTTACCGAACACGGAACACCACTTGTACTGCATATAGCCAAACTATAGAATTAAGTTATTTATACATAATCAAACTCTACCTTAGAGTAAAAGAACTTGCTTGGAGGAAAATGAATATCATCTCTAACGACCTGTTTAAAGATTAAACCAACTCACAGATAAATGGGAGACACTTGTAACAAAGTAGATTACACTTACTTTAAGGAAACCAAAGGCATTAAAAAATAAGGTCAAGAAAAAAGTAAAAGAATCACCTAACATCAAAAGCATATCTGCGTCTGAATGTCTGCGGGATGTAAAACTTTCCCCATTTTAAAATCACATTGTCTTAGACAGGTTGTTTTATATTAGAAGCAAGTGAGCGATTGCTAGTCATCCATCTGAAATTTAAGTGTCTGGGATGAAGGCTATAAGGCTATATAATAACTTGATAATAAAGCAACAGATGTACCAAATCAATCATTTCATCATTTTCTCAATGATACTGGATAATAACTTATCAAACTGAATCATAGGGACAAACAATACATATAAAAGAGAAATTTCCCAAATTTCTCTTGGTGGTAGTGCAGACCTCACCTCTAGTACACACATCGAATGAGCATGTACTTCAAAGTCATATAATTGACCAAATCTATTTTACAAAGTATCTGCACCCAAAGTCCAAACTAAAAAACAATCACATCCTTAAATATTCTAATGGAAGTTAAAGTAGAGCATTGTAATTAAACAACTAATTGGTTGGACGGTAGAACATCAAAAAGCACGATTCATACTTACTTAGGAAACAAGGTCAGGTCCACTCTTAAATAGCTTTCCCAGAGATGTCACCGCCATGTTTTCCTACGTTTCTGAAATTTTGCGGAATGCACCTGGGGAAGAACATTATAACCACTATGAATGATCTGTTTTCCCAACACAGTATGCCATTTGGAATGTCTTCATTAAAAACAATTATAGAATAAGGTATTTATGCATGTTAAGATTGCTCGCTAAGTAAAGTTGGAAATTACAAATAAGCAACAATCTAATGACAGAATACACATATAATATATAATTAAATATGATAGAGTTCTTAGAGTCATTATGATGTGCATACTTGAATATATGATGTGCAGGTCAAAAGTAGACTAGTTAGTAGTGAAGCATGTTATGACTAGTTAAGCCGGAAAGGTGTTGTAGTTGTCTTATTAAATACATGTAATAGATCTCCAACAATCTAAAGATTTGCCCAAATGAAGTTTAGTTAATTTACTGCACTTATCCAACTAGAAAAATAGAGAAAAGTTGATTTTTTTTAGGTATACAATAAGCAAACTGTTATTTAGAGCAAAAAATTGAATGACCTTTCAGTGGCATTATAGATTATAACATCGATTATAGCAGACCTTAATAATAGAATGACCTTACGGCTTTAGACTAAAAAAATAAGTTTCCATCCTGCAAACAATAAAATATTGATTATAGATTATAACAGACCTTAATGAGATATTGACCATAAGCCATATTTAACTTTGCATAGTTGTGCAGTTGTACTACATACATTATAATTTTATGTTATGCAAAAGAAACCTCAATGTTTTTTACTGTAAGAAACCCCATGGGCTGCAGCAGATCTTGCCTGCGCTACAAAGCCATGCTGTGTCTAGAGTGGTGCACAGGCCGACTTCTCCAATGACTAATGCCGCCAGGACGACTTCTACAAAGCCACCCTAACACATACCATTTTGTGAAGAAAAAGTTTTAAATGGAGTGCAAAGTCAAAGGATTTTTAAGTAGAATGGGGTGCAAAATCAAAGTTTTTTCATAATGGGGTGCAAAGTCCAACATCACCCAAAAAATGGGTGCAAGTCAAATTCCCCCATTATAAACTACTAGTTTGAATACCCAGAGTGTATGCTATCATTATTATATGCTATTAGTTTGAATAGGAAGATTATATGCCATCAATTTACTATTAAAGTGGGCTTGAAAAGGCAGATTACTATTAATAATAGTTGATTAGGTTGTCATAATATTTAAGAAACTTGAAAATTAGTTGTATGTTCAATAAGTGCAAATAAACTGAAATTTTATAATCATTTTAAAAAATCTTCCAACCGAATGTTAGAGGATCTGATTGCTATAATAGTTATTTATATCAAATAAAATTTGCCTGCTGCAAGTAGTAGGAACACTTTTCAAACTATTACTATACTCATATTTAACTATTAACAATTACATCAAATATACACTTACCAAGTAACATACATAAACTGCTACTCATATATAACAGTTTAATCATATTTAAAGTTAACAAGTAACACAAATAAAAGAACTAAAACTAAATGTATAATTTAATAAATTGTTATATAACTATCAATAGCTCGATCAAAAGAACATCGATGCGTTTCTAATGACAATCCATATTAAAGTTGGAATGGAGGAACTCCACCCAAGCTTTTCAAGCTACTGGTGTATATTTAAAGAGCCAGCATGTTGTGGGATTCTTTTAAGTTGTAATATAATGCTGGAGCCTTTATGTCATGAAAATGCATCTCTCCGCTTAAAACATACAGAGTAAATGTATAGTTGAGGCAGCTCAAATTTCGAGATGATTCTCTCTCTCTAAAAAAGAGAGACCAGTCACAAAAATCATAAGAGTGGTACTAGTGCATCATAACTCATAAAGATAGAAAATGTTCTTCACACAATGTCATAAAGAGTAATACTCTAAAGTGTATGAATATTCAGTCTTTTGTATGTCATTGCAAAGCTGAATTCAACCTCAAACGGGGACAATTGACACCACATATACCACTAATAGTGTTCCACTATCCAGTTAAGGTTGTTGCGCTGATTGAGTTCCATACCACATCTACCAGTGTGAGTCCAAATTAAAACAAAAGGAACTACTTCACATAAGTTTAATGATGTCATTTTAAGTTCTTTTTTTTTTCAAAAAGATAAAAGCATAGTAAAGGGAAATTGTAAAAAGTTAAAAGTCTGCTGGGAAGTAAGAATGTTACAAAACTCATTCGGTTTATGAAACATGGCAGGGAAAAATTGTTAAAAACAAATACACAATGAAAGAAGTAGATGCCACAAAGAGTGTAATTTTCTGAAAAATGAAATCGATGGGAAAGCCGAATAAGTATTGTTGCTAGTAGAAGAAGAAGTTAAATGATTACCAGGGGAGCAGTCGATCGTTGAAAAATGAAATCACTGGGAAAGAAGTTTGTTCCGCTTTGTCTGGAGTGAGTTGAGCGACGAATCTGGGGATAACGATGAATTAGAAGCAGAGAACCCTAACTCTGGAGCCCAACTTTGTCATTCTTCGTTGCTTTGTAAAAGTTACGCTCCCGGCGGCGACTCCATTAGAATTTGGGGTTGAATACTCGGAGAGCCAGTGAAGAATCTAATTTGGGCTTTTTCTACGATTCTCACGAAAAGAATCTAATTCAACTCCATTAGAATTTGTGGTTGAATACTCGGAGAATACGAGATAAAAAGATGATAAAGATGAAGCTTGAAAAAGATTAGAAGAAGATTGTGACCTGCTGGCGAATAGGAGCTTGGCTCTATTCATTGGCCTCGAACCTTGGCTCTCATCGATAGTGTACTTCTCTTCCTTTGTTCGTCTTTGAATAGATGCAGATGGCTGGAAACTCTGGAGTATTTCTTTGCCGCCTCTGACTGTGATAGGGTTAAGAAAAATTGTGGGAAGTGTAGAAACTCATTCTCGTAAAAAATTTAGAGGAAAAAATGAAACGAAAATGCTTAACGTACACACATTATACACGTTTTGTACACAGTATATATAGCTTTTTTACCTTTTCTTTTTACCAATAACTTTTCTCCATTTTCACATTCACCTCTTTCTCTTCCTCATCTTTGGCTGTGCGCTCCTCTTCGACGGAAACTCCTCCCCCTCTTCTCCAGTTCTCAACAAACCCTCTTCCCCTCTCCCATTATCTTTGAACCGTCATCTTCAATGAAAATTCCTCCCCCAATTCATTGCCACCTGCTGGATGTTCTTTGGGACTTCGCCCTAGCCCTAGCTAAGTCGATAAGTCCTCTTCTTTCCTTGGATTCCTAGCCGACGAACCAAGACTCCAGCTGGTATGTTAACTTTTTTCAAGAAGTTCAAATTACTGGAGAGTGAACTTTATTTGAGGTATTGCTTAACTTATGAAATTTATTTTCAGCTTACCCTAAAAGAAATCTGATTGTGTGCGAAGAAATTTTATAAAAGTTGCTTCAATTTTGGATCTTATATCAGTAACTCCTTGAAATCGCTATCCAGCATGGAAACATGGCCAAACTTATAAAAATAGGGATAAGGTTTAGTTGATGTGTATTCACTGCCACAAGATATTCATAAATGGGGGGATTTTATACTTAAAGGACATTTGATTGTCAAGAAGGGAACGACTGAACTTGTTTCAGAGTTGAACCTGATGTTCAGTTTTAATGTCACAGTGCTTGGATACTACCCCGAATGAAGGTTAAGAAGCATAAAAGTTCCATGAAGATAAACAAAACCGTTGATTCCTTAGTAATGAACTGTCAACAGTCAGTATCATATAAATGCTTGAGAGGAGCAAGGTGTAGTAGATTTGTGCTTAGGTTTAATTGTTTATTTTTAATTGTTAACTGTTTATATAGCAAGAAACCAGAAACTACGGAGTATAATTTAAGGGAAAGTGGAGGTATTGCATATGATTTGTGCACAATACACTTATAACAACAATTAAGAGAAAAATCATTATTGTTCTTTTATTTTTGCAGGATTCCTAGATTTATGTGACTATAACTAATTTCTTCACACACTGTCAGTATTAATGTTTTCTTGTTCAAATGACTAAAACATTGAACCTAACTATGCATTATGTTTCTTTTAAAGGAATCTATCCTCCAATAGCATAAATGGTCCCATACCGATTGAGCTTTCATGTATTGGGAACCTTGATACACTATAAGTTATTTTTTGTAGGTGCTTACTTTATTTGTTTTCTTGTGAAAACTTTAGAGTTTAAACACTTCTCTGTTTGATGTGGATCTTAGTTTCTCTCTTTTTCTCTTGGATGGCCAGGGACCTTACAGATAATAAGATCAGTGGTTCAATTCCTTCTTCTCTTGGTGATCTGGAACATCTTCTGAAATTGTGAGTTTATTCATATGTTGGGCAGGCTAGCTCTATTACCTCTCCTGTAGGTATTGTTTTTGTTGACACTGTAAATTTGTTACTGCTGCAGGAACTTGAGTAAGAATGATATCACTGGACAAATACCAGGTGAATTTGGAAATTTGAGAAACATCATGGAAATGTGCGAAATCTTTTCTCCCAATACATCTTATTGAGATGATGATCAAATTTTTATTATAGAGTTCAGACTTGTATAATTGTATTATCTTACAGTGATATTTCAAGCAATCACCTTTCTGGAATAATACCTCAAGAACTCAACCAACTTCAGTATCTCTTCTTGCTGTAAGTGAGATTTGATTAAAAATGTATCAACTATTTATTGTTTATTATTATTCATTATTTATATATGACAGTTGTCAAATCTAAATTCTCATAGCAACTTTTGTTATAAATTCTCATTATTTATTCATTATTTACATCAATTTCCAAAATGGTTATGTTTTTATTTCCGGTCAGTAGATAAAAAGGAAGCAACACCACAAAACGGTGTTCATTCTCTCGGATGCTTATGTCTTATTAGAGTTCTCGTTGCATGAATGATATGGATAGGGCTCATTTTTACATTTGTGCTACAATAAATTCAGAAATGCTTCATCATGAAATAGCACGGAGACTTCACCACATGGAGAAAGAAAGATTGTTAGTGGAGATGATCGGTCATTTTGTGGAATTGTTTATGGATGTGTAAAGTGATACAGTGTTATTTTGTAATTAGTCACATTGTAATGCAAACATTCTTGTATTTAGAATGTAGTAGTATTTAGATTTGCATTTATTATCAAAGATGTATCTTATTGTGAACTACGCATTGATAAACAAATGATGAGAAATCAATCATTTTAAAAGTCAAGAATGAGAGTTTCAAAGCAAAAGATATAAGATGATTTATTTTGTTTGCCACTTGAGTGTCGAATGTGCTATGAATAATTGTCTGTGAAAGTGATATGAAATGTCTGGCCACAGACAATGATCACTGGAACAAGCTTATTTGTTAAGTGGTATTGTCTGTGAACCAAACATGAAATGTCCATCCACAGACAATGACCACTTGAACGGACTAATGTACTACGTGAAAGTGTCTATGAACTTGATATGAATTGTCTGGGCAAAACAATAGTCACTGAATTCGGCTAATGAGATATTGTGCTAAGTGGAGTTGTCTGTGAACCAGAAATGAAATGTCTGGTCACAGGCAATAGTCACTGGAACGAGAAAATGTGCTAATTGGAATTGACTGTGAACGTGACATGAAATGTCTGGTTATAAACAATAGCCATTGAAACAATTTAATCTGTCAAGTGAATTTATTTAAAGGAGATTCTTAATTGTCTGGTTATAATTGATGTTTAGGTTGAAGCAGTTGAGTTGGGAATTATGGAAAAATTATAATTCGTATTTTGAATAAATTTTATTAATAAAATAAAGAAATATTTATATGAAAAAATAGTTCAAAATATATTCTACAATAATTTCAACTAATTCATCTAACCAATTCATCTTATTTCACTTACCTCCATAGCCCGTCCCAATGACAATTGCCTGTGACCAGACAATTCATGTATGGTTCACAACCCATATTACTATACACGCTTCGAATGACTTAACATGCTAAGTGGAGTTGTCTTGCATCAGACACTAAATGTCTAGCCACAAGAAATAGCTACTGCAATGACCTAATGTGCTAAATGATATTGTCTGTTAGGGTCATTTTAATTAGTTCTTTGTTTAGCACATTAGGTTATTTTAAAGTGTAAATTTCACTTAGCACATTAGGTATCCGAGTGGTTATTGCCTGTGACCAGACAACTCATGTCTGGTTCACAGACAATATCATTTAGCATGTTAGGTCATTCCAGTGACTATTGTCTGTGACCAAACATTTTATATCTGATTCACAGACAATTGCAATTAGAACATTACGTCATTCAAGTGGCGATTGCCTGTCATCGAGCAGCTAATGTCTGGTTCACAGACAATACCATTTAGTACTTTAGGTCATATTATCTGTGGCCGGACATTTAATTTTTGATTCACAGACAATTCCACATTGTGCAAAACACGTTACAACTGAAAAATTTATACATCTAGACATACTTAAGTATTTAAACTTCTATTTGAAAATACAAACTTGTAACAAACACATCTTACTAGTGCACCACATGTGTAAGGGAGTTTCATCTTCAGAGACTCAATTGATTTAGTTTAGCTATAGTTATAATATTTGTTACATAAAGAAACTCATATAGACCACATTTAAAGCAACTCTAAATACTTCAAACATAAATAAAATTTCAATGCTTGAAATAAGTCATTCCTCTAGCTCCCCCTTTGGTGCAAACACTTTAATCCCTAAGTTGAATGAGTTGTTTGAGTAGAAGTCAGAATCATATTCTCTCATTGAATGAATTTCTTCATTCTCCTAACAATTCTCATAACACCCCGACCTCCAAAGTTTCTTCTTTCACATCACACAACTTTATTTTTGCTTAAACTGCTCAAACAAGAAAAACAAGCATCATTTTCCACAAGAATGAGACTTGACTTGAAGCATACGAATTCAATGAACCAACTGTAACTTGTAACATGAGGCCAAAATAGAAGCCCATAACCCCATATTTGGCATTGACTATTCAAAATTCCACAAACACCAAAAGCAAGAGTACTCTGCAAAAAAAGAGATCACTACACAACCTAACAATAAAAAGAAATCAAATAATACACACCAAACAACCTTTATATTAATCAAAGTCTACTATTTAGTCTGATTATTCTACTATAAGTAAAATAAACAGAATGAGCCTATTAGTGTTCCAAGTGAGGCCCTAATAAAAACTCATGCTGCTCTTTACTACATACTCAAGAATTTCCCCAAACTTAAATTTAAAATAATCAAATAAAATAGTCATTCAAAAATTATAGTACACTTTTCTGGAATAAAAGAGTCGATTATTTAAGTAAAAAAGAAGGTTCTCTCAGTCTTGCATTTGAAAAAAATTGAATATGAAACTCATTAAACACCAAAATGCATTTACAAATTAAAAAATAGGAGAAAAAATATTAAATTTGAACAAAAGTTCACTTAATCATTTCAACAAACACCTTATGGGCAAAAACAAACTAGAGTATGTACACTAAAATTTCAATAATTAACTCCTCAAATCTTTTACAATGAAACAAAACAATCAATTTTCACTGTTAAAACATATATACTATTCATGAAATTAGGAAAAGTATATAAAAAAAAACCCCTAAAATGCATATGAAAAAATGGGAATAATTATGTACGTTTAAGTTGGGAGAAGGATTGAAATTGATGTATATGGCGATTTAATTAATTATTCAAAGTTATAACATTCACAATATACATAAAATCTGGAAAAATATAAATAAAAAGCAAAGCACACAAGAAAAATAGGAAATGTATATATTACCTCATGGTTTGAGAAGAAGGATCAACCACAGAGAAAACCGATTCTCTGTATGAAGACTAGATGAGGAGAAGGATTGAAATGATGTTGAAGTTAGGGAGCTTGAAAATGAAAAAAAAAAGTGAAAGAAGAGAACCACAAGGTAGAGTGCGGAGAAGAGAACGAGAGAAGAGAGATTAAGGGAAATGAGAGAGAATGAATGGAGTAAAAGATAAAAG